AAACCTGTTACTAGCTGTGGAGAAAGAATGAGAAGGCAGTTACTGAGGGTCTTACCTAATAATAAGTCCCTGTCCCCTGTCAACTTACTAAAATGTGTTCCTTTACCCATATCCCTAATCATGTTGAAGTGGAGAACCAGGTAAGGATGTTTTACATTTTATTTATAATAAAAACTGCATACAGTGCAAAGTGATTTACTTCCCTTTACAATCCTGCATGACTATTAAAGTGTCAGGCATAGCTTAGCCTTTAGGCTGTATCTTTTGCAGGGCTGAAACATGGGTCATAACAAGTCCCTGGTGTTTGCAAGGAGAGCCTTTCCTAAGCACATCCCATCCAACTGTTCCTGCTTGAAAGCACCAAACCATGAAAATGCATCAGTGACCCTGTTTTAAGAGGGTATTTTATAGCCATTTTCCAGACATCTCTTTCCAGCATGCTTAAATGGCCTTAGAGTTGCTCATATGGTTCCACTGCTTTAGAGCAGAGGTTCCCAACCCCTGGGCTATGGCCTGGTGCCAGGCCGCAAAAGGTTGGCTGCCGGGCCACAGGAGAGTTGGCTGCCAGACCGGAAGTGTGGACATGACTGGCATCCTGCAGAGCAGCAGAAAAGGGTTGGCTGCCTGCTCAGTATAAAAAAGGGTTCGCTGCCAGTCTGCAGTATGTGGATCACTCCCAGACTGCAGTTTGCCAGTCCTCAATTTTCCAGTCCATGGTCACTTACGGTCCACGATCTAAAAAGGTTGGGAACCCCTGCTTTAGAGCATCCCATTCTGGACACGACAAGAACAGAGTAGACATGCCCACTGAAAACAACGTGAGTTTTGATATTGGCTTTATGCCACCCAAGGTTTCACTTGTATGTGTCTCTACCATACTCAACACAATGGGGCTCCAATCCTGCATTACATATGAAGGAGCTGGGTGAATATTTATATTTGATTCCTTATTCCCCAACAAGTTTTTGTTCAAAATGGAAACTAATACAAAAATTTCCTGACATCTTTAAATGAGGAGCCAATAATTATATAAGAATAATAACAGCCAGTTAGTAGGTAGGCAACCATCAATCCTCTGGATCATGTTGTACACCTAAGAGCTCTAGTTAGGTGCCTGATTAATCAGTTTGTGGCTAACAAGTCCAACTCAAGAGCAACAAAGCTTGTTACAAGTTTCACAGATCCATATGTTGTCTGAGTTGTTGTCCAAGTTTACAGCATGCTGCTTTCTTTCTCACTTTGCTTCCATCCTCTGGATCAAAGCTGCTTCATGTTGAGCTACACCCAGTGCCAGATGTTCCTACCAGATAGGACAGGATTCTGTGCGCTCCTTCCAACTTTCAACATCAGTGTTGAACAACTTCATATCATCTTTGCATACGTTGTGGTACTGCCATAGAGGGCAACCCTGCTATCTAGTTTGCTATACAAAAATCTTGTAATAGAAAATATTCTTGGGGATACGTTTTCCTCCCATACCCCTGACATGGCCAATCCAGTGTAACCTCCTCTTCTCGATAGTGATTTCCAAGTGTGTCAGTCCTGTGTGCCCCGGTACCTCTGTGTTTGGTATTCTATCTTCCCAGGATCTTATCCGTATCTTATCCAGATATCTCATGTGGAAGCTGTTCAGTCTCTTGATGTGCCTAGCATATGTAGTCCACGTTTCTGAACCATATAGCAGAGATGACAGCACATGAGTCTCATAGATTCACATCTTCATCTTAGCTGTTAGTTTGCTGTTATTCCATGCACATTTCTGTAATAGCCCAAAATTCTTAGCTGCTTTTCCAGTTCTGTTAGTCAGTTCAGTCTGAAGGTCAAAATCCTGCTGATCATAGAACCCAGGTAGCAAAAGCTGTCAATGACACCAAGAGATTTATCCTCCAGACTGATGTCAGGTATTGGTTTGTCATCTTTTGGTACATGATTACAGTCTTCTTGAGTCTAATTGCCATCCCCAAGCTCTTGCATGATTCAGAAAATCTGAGTAAGAGATTTTGTAGGGAAGATTCACTGTGGGCAATGAAGGCCGTGTCATCTGCAAACAGGGAGTCTCCCAGGACCAGTTCTTTCACCTTGTTTTTTGCTTTAAATTTTACTATTTCAAAGATAAATGCCATCATTGCTGTCCTTATGCTAAAAACATGGAGGCTAAGACACACTCCTGGTTCATCCCATTGTTGATGTTAAAGGCATTTGATTCTTTGTTTTCATACACTTGCCTTCATACCTTGATGTAATGAGCAAATGGTGTTCAAAAGTTTGGGGAGACAACCCAGTTTCTTCAGAACAGTAGAAAGGCCCTGTCTGTTGATGGTATCAAAGACCTTCATCAGATCAGTGAAGGCTATGTACAGTGGTATTCGTTTTCCTTTATACTTCTCTTGCAGTTGCTTGACCAAAAATATCATATCAGTGGTGGACAGTCCTGACTTTCAGGATAGATTCCTTCACCTAGAGATTTCAACCTAGGGAGCATGATACAAATGACAATTTTTCTGATGAGGTGCAGCAGGGAGATATGTCTATAGTTGTCACAGTCACTTCTATCCCCTTTGTTTTTGTATAACTGTACAAACTTAGCATCTTTGATATCTTGTGTTACCACGTCCTCTTTCCAACAGAGCAGTATAACTTCATGAAGCTTGCGAAGTAATTCATCGTTGGCACCTTTGTAGATTTGAGCAGGTAAACAGTTGCTGCCAGATGCCTTGTTCCCAGGAATCAATTTAACGGCTTTCAGCAAATCTTCTAGTGTCGGCTCACTGTCCAAATCCATCGTAACTTCAAACTGTGGTAATCCTTCAAATTCTTCATGTTTGATTTCAGTCTCACTGGAGTATAGAATTCCATAGTGTTCAATCCAGTGCTCAAGTTGTTTTTGTTTATCAGTAATGACATTTCTGTTTAAGTCTTTCTGCTGAGCTGTTTTCTTTTTGACTGGACCAATTGCTCATTTGATGCCTCTGGAAGTGCTGGGGCTATCACCTGCATCAGCTGCTTTCTGTGAACTTCGTATCACCACAGTTTTAGCTAAACATCTTGGGTACACCTCTTTGCCTTTCTGTTTGAGCATTTCTCAGATTTTCCAGGGTTATGGTGTTGGGAGATTTCTTATAATTGGTGAGCTCTGTTTTTCTGTTTTCTGCTCTGTTTTCTGTATAGTTGGTGAGCTCTGTTAGCAGTGGTAGAAGGTTTTCAGAGTGGTCTTCAAACCAATCTGCATTATTTGCCAAACACTCTTACAGCAGTATTGTACATGTTGGTTTTTAAGCTTTCCCAAGCTTCAGTGACTGAGTTGTTAGGCTAACTTGCTTTCACAGCTTCTTCACTGAAAAGTCTGCATTTTTCTATGTCTTTAGTTAGGCTAATACGTTTCTGAGGATAACTGGTGTTTTGCTATGGTGGATCTTTTTGACATTGATGCTGACTTTGCAGCACAGTACGGCATCGTTAGTATTACAGTCAGCACTGTGATAA